TGTACTATTATCAGCCTGCGTCCCTTTCCTGATGGTGGGTTTAAACCAGTAGATAAGTTATTTACAAAAGCGTGCCTTTGACTTGTAACAGTTTCATCCTGCCTAAATTTATTTGGTGTATGACCCTCGTTGATCCATGTTTCATCAAGATAAAATATTTTTCTTTTTTGGTTTCTCATTTCCTTTATGGTTCTTAGAAAATGTCTTCTCCATATGACAATATCGCTTCTTTCTAATAAAATAGACTTTCTGGGATTCTTTTTCCAGCGGAAGCCTATTTCTTTTAAAAGTTTCCATAACGTACTTCGACTCATTTCTGGGTAATCCTTATCATCTCGAACTGAGACAAGAACTTTATCCAATGTTGAAAATTCTTGTCTAAAGAAGAATTCATGCACTTTCCGTCGAAGTCCTTCTTTAAAATGATATTCTATTTGAAATTTTGGTTTCCCTGGAGCATTACGTGGCATTTGAAAACTACCACATTTTTCTTCTTTAATAACTCTGTAAATCGTAGATTTCCCAACACCAAGTGTACTGCTAACTAACTCAACGGTCTCATCAACACTTTCACATAAACGTTTGTCTGTAAATGATTTAAAACAATTAAATATTAATGTTTTTTCATTAACTGTTAAAGGACCAATTTTTCGGCGCTTACACGGCACTTCCAAATTTTCCATAACACTAGTATACACAATAAACTGCACCTTGCAACTGAAGTACCTACTTTTAGAGAACTGTTAAGAATTTTGAATACGCCACTTGAACCTTCCTACAAAATGGAAAACCCATTATCACATTTTCTGTGGAATAAGTTTAGAAGGTAATTATCTAGTCAATTACTGTCGTAGATTCCTGGAATTAAAGAATTAAATGTTTGATTGTTGAAACCCTTACTTCGTGGAATGCACTCATTTCAGATAAAATAAAACGTTTTATTTTATCTAAAGAATTAAACTTTATTTTGCAAATAGGTAGGTACTTATTAAACTTTTATTGGTTATATATAACCAATAAAATAAACATCTTACATTTCTTGCAAATTCATTAGTACCTGTTAACCTCCATCACTCCGACACTGGCAACCTTATTTAGGGATTAGTAACCCTCACAAATATTGTATTCTATTCTGCTCCAACCTTTATACCTGGTGGTCATACTCAATTTAAAATTGTTTTCCTATATACTTCTGTAAACTTGTTGACAAATATTTGTTTTTCATTGAGTCACCCGTATCAACAGTTTAGGGATTTGCATACATAATTTATTGTTTTATTACTCTCTCATACATAAAAATACACTATAGGCAGTGCAACTACCAACCAAGAATCATCACGAGATGGTTCATCCCTGTCGACTGGTTGGATTATGTGCCGATCAAGAACCCTTTCTATAGAACTGCTTATAGAAGGTTTTGCCACTACTTTTGAAATAGTAATACGAATTTTATGGCAGAAATACATAACTGCTTTGCAAGATCTTCTAGAAATTTCGGACGGATATTGGTTGTGCTTCATGTATATTAGGGGAAGGGTGGGCAAGTTGACATAGCCGGGCAAGACGACACATTGCCCCCACCACGAAAACTAGTCCATTATTCGTTCAGTCCACACGCTCGTTACAATCTTCTTCTTCTTTTTCACGTGCCATTTCCGCGACGGAGGTTGGCAATCATCATGGCTATTCTGATCTTAGATGCGGCTGCTCTGAATAGTTCAATTGATGTGCATAACGTTACGCAACCATGAAATTCTTCTTCTTCCTACACTTCTCTTGCACTGGATTTTCCCTTGTATAATCAATTGAAGTAGGTTGTATCTCTCATTACGCATTACATGCCCCAGGTATTGCAGCTTTTCTGTCTTGATGGTTTCCAATACTTCCTTTCTTTTGTTGATTCTTCTCATGACTTCGTTCTTTGTTACATGCTCGGTCTGTGATATCTTCAGGATTCTTCTATACACACACATTTCAAATGCTTCCAACTTTTTAGCAGTCGACGCGTTAAGTGTCCATGCTTCCATCCCATAAAGCAGAGTCGAGAAAATATATCACCTTGCCAGCCTAACTCTCAAGTCCAATTTTAGTTCTCTTGCCCAAAGTACCTTTCTCATTTTATTGAAGTTTATACGTGCTTTCTCTATTCGAACTTTGATTTCTTTGGAGTAATCGTTTGTGTGATTAATTATTGTGCCAAGATAGTGGTAGTTTTCAACTTGTTCTAATGCACTACCGTTAACTGTCAGGCTTTTACCATTATTTTGGGATTTTGATATCCTCATAAATTTGGTTTTCTTGGTGTTTATTGATAATCCATATTCTTCTCCATACTCAACTATCTTGTTCCTTAGCTTTTGGAGGTCTTGGAGGTTGTCTGCTATTATGATAGTATCGTCCGCATATCGAATGTTCTTAATTGGTGTTCCATTGACCTACAATCTACTCCTTCACAATAATCGTTTGATGGTCTTTTGCTGTGGATGCTCCGTACGTTTAAAAAAATATTTACCTTTTTGTATCATTGTTGCGTGTTGGTCCAATGTAAGTACCATATGTTTCGTTATATATTTATGCCATTGTAGCATTTCTTGTCATGATATATTTTCGAGATAAAAAGGGTATTCCTAAGCTTTAGCTTTGGATATTGCAAATGCTCTTAGGTTATATTTTAACCGACCATGTTTTCATGTTATGATCACACGCGCTAGCGGGTAAATTGAGATATTGCTGTGTGATCTTGCCCTCTAAAGCAGTGGTTCCCAACCCGGGGTCCGCGCCGAGTTTACGTGTGGTCCGCGGGCTGTTTCAGAGTACGTCTTATAATTCACGGTTTTCTTCATCAATACGAGTATAACAATGTTTTTACTGGCTATATAATGAGACATTCATCCTCGGAGATACGTTTGTTATGAAAGTATGCCACATGAGTAATGCTGTTTTTATTTCTGATTTTAGGCGTGCAGTGACAGTGGCACAACGCGAGCGCGGAGAGGGTAGGCTATTAATAGTCACTGCGGGGCGGGCGGACACATGCTTCCACCACTCTCAAGCTCGGTCAGCTTGTATGACAGGCTCCAAACAAGGCCTTAAAAGTTTTCTACTGAAAGAAGCGGGAACCGAAGTACAAATAACACACTGCATTATTCACAGAGAAATGCTAGCAACCAAACAGTTGAGTCCTGAACTCAATGAAGTCCTCCTTACAGTTGTAAAGGCTGTGAATTTAATCCGGGGCAAAGCTCTTAATTCAAGATTGTTTGCTACGCTTTGTGATGATATGGGCTCGCTTCATTCCAAACTTCTCCTCCACACTGAAGTACGATGGTTATCCCGAGGGCGTGTATTGGCCAGATTTTATGAACTTAGAGAGGAGGTTTGTATGTTCCTTGACAAAAACAATCCAGAACTAGCGGCTGTGTTTCGGGATGGACAATGGGTGGCTAAACTTGCTTTTTTGACTGATATATTTGAAATTATAAATGTGCTGAATCTTGGTCTTCAAGGGCACTTACACACAGTATTCGATCTGTGGAAAAAAATTGCTGCATTTAAACAAAATAAAGTTATGGCAAACTGAAGTAGAGAAAGGATCTTTTGCTATGTTTAATCTGTTTTCTGAATTTATAATAGAAACGGAAGGTATGAATATAAATAAAGAACAGCTGTCATCTTTGGTAAAGGCTTACATAGCATCGCTTCAAGGGTATTTTGACAACTATTTCCCTGCCAGTTCTGATGTCAGTTCTAAAAACTTGTGGGTGGCAAATCCTTTTTTACCAATCAAGGATATTGATCTTACACTTAATGAACAGGAAGAACTTATTGAGATATCTTCTGATCTTCAGCTTGAAGTTGTCAAAATACAATGTGACAATATTGCAAGCTTTTGGATCAAGTTACTTGATGAGTACCAAACCCTAAGCCAAAAAGCCTTGAAAATTCTAGTTCCTTTCAATTCTACATATCTTTGTGAACAGCAGCATTTTCAACACTAAATGTTATTAAGAATAAGCATCGTAACAATTTGTTGAAATTGGATGCTCCATTCAGGTTGAGTTTGACCTCTTTGAAGCCAAATATCGAAGATCTTGACAGTAAAATGCAAAACCAAGGAAGTCAATGAGAGACTTAGTGTCATATTTTGTAAGCGTTTTACAATAGATTTATAATGTTTCTATAACTATATTAAGACTATAACTATGTTTTTTTTTCTAATTACTTACTCTTAATACAATGTATATTAAAGGATTTAAAATATATTTCTCTAGTTCTTAATTTAATTTACCTAGTTATAAAATCATGTGGTCCGCAGACGTTTTCTTATAGATCTTGTGGTCCTCGAGGGAAAAAGGTTGGGAACCACTGCTCTAAAGGACGGATCTATGAAATATGTTTGGAGGAGGTCTGGCTCAACTTTTACCCAAAACTCCTTTAAAATAAAATTCTCAACTAATGTTTTGGGTACTTAATATTTTTTTAGTATATTTTTAAGCTCTTATTTATTTGTCTGGGGGGAGTGCTACATTGTGAAGGAGGGAAATTGTTTGATGATGATGTAACGTCTGCAATTGAGACAGACATCAAAGACGAAGTGGTTGCAGACGTACTAACCACCTGCCGCTTACTGGTTCTAAGTGTTTCTGTTTTTTATCGGTAACTGAAACTGCGAGATTAAATATTTAACAAACATAATCTCCAAGTTTCTGGTATATTAAAGACAGGGTAATCTACCACGTGATATGATATAATCAGATAGTTAATTTAAACATAAAATGGAATTAATATATTCTTTAATATATATCAGAAAACAATACAATGTTCAAATAGTTTATATATAACCCACAAATCTTCTTCATTGATGTTTCTTATATAATAAATAAAAAAAAGTATTATTTAATATATTTAATAATTTTTGTAAATTAATATAATAAAGTCGCTGACCTATACGAACTTTTTTTCTTATATATTATTAATGTTGGATAATGCTGTCTACTCACGTGTAAACTTGATATCGGGTTTAAGAGGCTGTTGTTTTCTTTTGTGTTTGGGCAGTTTATCGTTCTCTGCTTTCCACTTTTTTAAACATTGGGGTTCATGTTTATAAATCGAGTTCACATCAAAGAGTTCATTACAAATGTAGCAGGGAAATAATGGTGATGTTCTGGATGAAACAGGACTGTCATGTGCGGGTGTTGAAATAGTGCTATTGGTAGTGTCTTCTGCAAAGGGTTGGAATTTAGTGTTTACTAAAAGTTTGTGTCTAACTATAGAAGTTTTATTGAATCGTATTGTATTAAGGATATCGTCAACCACTATGTACCTAGGTTGGGTTACTAACTGAAGTATATATATATATATATATATATATATTATATATATATATATATATATATATATTTGTTATGATTAGTTTGTTTATTTGTTAACGATACACAAGGATCGGGGTGTAGAGTTGTGCTATAGAGGTAGCACATTTTATCGGAGCGAGCGTCATAGAGATGTTTCTTGATAACTGGTCCTCATACGACAACTAACTCTCACTTATGGCTCAACATGCCACATCATGGGCAACTGCATTGGTCTGCAGGCTACACTAAGTGAGGGTAGCCAGATATGGCAAAAATGGCACCGAACGATTGCCGGCATAAGCATATTTTTAACTTATTGACCAACGGCTTCGAGCGGACGAGTAAGTAAGCGGCGAGTACTCTTTTGTCCTGGAGTTAAGAAAAATAACCCCTAAGTCGGAGGAGTTACAAATAAGTAACCAACGGCATAAGGATGTGGAAAGCCACGGGATGACTACCACCCTATCCTTTGGGATATCACTAGAACAATCATCATGGCAATGATCCAAATGGTAACAAAACCAGCAGACATTACTGATCACGGAAATCGGAAGCCGAGATACGTGCAGGAGATGAACAAACCTAACAGATCACAAGGCCTCTAATGTCGTCAACAAGCGAAATCCCAGTAATGTATTGAGAAAAACATCTACAAGACCAGCCTTCCAACTAAATACACTAAAAAAATAGGCATTTGGAACGTAAAGAGTGTGTACCAACAAGGAAAAGCCAATAATCTAACACAAGAAATGAGACGCTTAAAGATAGATATCCTTGTATGTAGCGAAGTCCGATGGCCTAACAGAGGCAGAAGTGTCATAGACAACTACGTGTTTTACTTTTCCATAAATAACAACACCAAAACCGCAATGGAGTAGCAACAGTCATCAGCAAAGAAATCGATCTTCTTATTGTGATGTGTTTCCCTGTTGGAGGTAGGTTATCATCACAGCTATTAGCGTCTAATTATAAACTTATTAACCTTTGAAAAAATACAAATATTCACTTCAGCATCACCTATAAGAGTTTGCAAAAAAAATAAAAGACTAATAAAGAGATTTGGATATTTCTGAGAGCGCAAAAGTCCCGGATCCAGGCAGTGTCCCCTCGAAACTTTTAAAATATGAGACAGACAAGCTGTTTAAAAATTTAGCGAATATTTTTCAGAAATGAATAAATAATATGATAATTTCCGTCGAATAGCAAACTTTCTAAATAACTTCAATTTATAAGAACGAAAGTAACGAGAACTGTGACAATTATAGAAGTATTTGAGTCCTCAGTACAATTTCAAGAGTATGTGGAAAGTTTTCAAATAAACTTGTAACTGAGAAATTTCTTGAAAAGGAAGCAAAGTAACAAGCAGGATTTACAGAAAGACGATTCACAATAGATCCTTTATTCTACATCTCCCAAACAAAAATAGATAAATGGGTGAAAAGAACCCAGAAAACTCACCTTGTATATGTGGATTTTAGAACAGCTTATGACAGCATTTCTCAACAAAAACTTTGGGAATCACTCCGCGAAGTTAATATTATAAATACCGCCCTTATGAAAGTTGTATAGTAAACTATACAAAACAACAATACCAGAATAAAATTAAAAGAGTTTAAGAAATCTATACAGAAAAAGCTTTAGGAATTTGAAAACTCTCAATAATAAAGGTGTACATATTATGCTTTGCAGAAAATCAGTTAGTAATTATAGAGCACAGGATTATAAAAATGCTGAATATACCAAAAAGTGGGGCTCAGAGGTAAATATCTGCCTCAAGGAACACATGTATATCGGTGGAGTATACCAAATAATGGCACTTGAGGAATATCAACAATAAATAAAACATTGTACGAAATACAAATATGTGGGCATGTATATTACGAGTGATGGACGAATGGAGAAAGCTATTAACCGCAAAAATATCGTACATTGTGGGATAGAAATATAACAAACGAAAATAAACACAAAATAAACACTCTCGTAAAAAGTATGACATCTTATAATAGGGAAGTATTATTCGGTGAAATAAAGAACTCTTAAAACCTCAGACTCAGTCGAAATTGATTTTTATAGACATGATGCTAGTAAATAAAGGTAACATAGTGTTAGAAATCATAGAATTCGAGAAATTATGAATGTCAGGCGTACAATAACCGAAGATATTATAACAAACCAAGATGGTATGATTACGTGCAAAGAATGAGAGAATCGTATCCTAAACAGATAATATATTGGACACCTTTAAGGTAAAAAATAGAGAGGAAAACCTAGACTAAGTTTTAGAGAAGGCATTGACAGAGAGATCATAGAACGAGAACTAGATGTCAACTTGTGGGAAGACAGAGAGCAATGGCAATTGCAACAGGTCGCCTGAAACCGAAAAGAATGGCATTTAATCTTAGAGCCTACCAGGATCCACAAATGACTGTCGAGCCAAAGTTTGTAAGTACTTGTATACATATTGGCTAAATAATGTATAAAAAATAGTGACTTACCTATTTTTTTCCCTGGAGAAGTCTTGATTTTTGCTGGAGGTGGAGTTTTCTCTGACGAATGGTTTCCTTCCACCCATTGTTTGTAGCATTTTTTCTCGTGGACTTTTAAAGAGTGAATTCCGAACTTCTTTCCGCATATAGAACATTCAGCAGTAGGTGGACCTTGTAGACCACTAGATGGTCGGTTAGGAGGCATGACTGTGTTTGGTGGTAATACGACATTCGTAAGGGATTGGTTGGAATTTTTAGACTATGAGAAGAAAACCACTATTTAAAATGTTTTAGATTATAAAACAAAATATTACAATAGTTAAAAATAGAAAACCGGTATGTGGTAGGGATGGGAAAAAACCTACCGGTTTTAAACAAAAACCGGTTTTTTACTTCGCAATAACCTGTTGTTTTTTTGTCCCGGTTTTTTATTTTTAAAGTAAAAACCGGTTATTAGGTTTTTACGGTGATTAGTAATTATTATTCTCAAGTAATAGCAAACTAAAATGCATTGTAAATGTAACTTTGTAACCTATTGGATTAAAAAAACCGAAAACCGGTTTTTGGAAAAACCGTTTTTTTTTATCCGGTTATAACCGCCAGATTAAACCGTAAGCAAAAAAACAGGTATAACCGAAAATCGGTGATTTGTCAAAAACCGCCATCCCTAGTATGTGGTACTTCGGAAGTGAGCGAGGAGGAGAAGTATAGGTTTCATATTCTCTTATTTCACTTGATTTAATACATCACTATCGCTATTACTATCACTGTTTACCATTTTTTTATCAAGATGAAATTAACAATTACAAATTTAAGAGAGTACGTGTCTGCAACAACTAACAAGAAACACGCATAGGACTACGTTTACTACTCCACGTAGTGTGTGAGCGAGAAAGAGAGATGGAATGAAATAGAGTGAGTGGGAGATGAGAGGACTGTTTCTACAACTATATACAACTGTATTAGAGCGCCATATATATATTCAAATGATCCCCAAAAATTATTATCCAACCTCACTTTAAAACAGTTCTGATTTCTTTAAAGAAAACTAACTACTCGCAAAATAATTGGTGAAACTGGAATATCAATCCTCTCTTCGGAAGTTAAGGTACGTACTATTCTCTTTTTAATTTAATGACCATTAATATTTTCAATTTTTATGGCCTATCGCAATTATGTTAATTCATGATTTTTAATTTTCTCAATTTAAATGACATTTCTGTACTCCAAAATAATTTGTAAGTCAAATTGTTTCTCTTACTCTGGAACAAATTCTGGATATCTCTGCTGTGGAAACTGTGGAAAAACTAAAATTCTAATTAGACGAGTTAAAAAACACTCCCGACCTATTCCACAGTTTCAGGGCTCCCTTCGTCGAAAAATCCTCGTCGGCCTCTCCAAAAAACCAATTCTCTGTTGCTAACAGCAACCAACGTTCTTTTTCTTTTCAGCTTCTATTTTTTTAAACCATAAAACTGTCCTCTTCTGACACATTTGTCAATTCACATTAATTTCTCATAATCACTAGTTACTTTGGCCGTTACAGTTTCAGCTTTATGTTTGAAATACCTTTACCATCTTTAATTTTTTACCAACGATATAATAAACTATTCCTAAGTTTAAATCGAATACTTACTTCTGAGTGAGGTAACTGTTTGCAACTTCTTTGATGGACAACTAGCCTGTCAGGATAAAATGTTCTTCCGCAGTTTGGACACGGAACCAGGTTGGCCTAAAAATAATTGAATTTAATTAACACTTAACACAATTATTTTAAAATTTTTACTATAAATTTAATGTTAAGTATTATATCATGACTAAAATTGTGCCAGACCTAAAACAGGAGAATACAGGATTATTAGATATTCTTTATCGTCTTGTTAAGATCTTCTTTAGTCTAAATTCAAACATTCAAAAGAATATATCTTTCACACTTAAAAAATAATGTAAATTCATTTCATCAGCCAACAATATCTGTCGTTGGATAGGCCTCATTTGCACTTGAGACCGAGATTTTCTTTAAATAAGTAAATCGAAATTTGTCTTTTTGTTAATCTATTTTTATCCATAGTACCCTATAATATTTCGTATCTCGCTATACTTTCATTAATAACGAATATGCTGTGTAGTGTCCTTTTGGTAGTCGCCTTGTTTCTTTTTTCTATATTTGTTATATCCTCAACTTTCTTTAGATATATTAGATGTGAGGATTCGATCAGTTGTGTATTTTGTACTTAACCAGAAACCTGAAGCAGAAGTCAATAAATCAAAAGTTGCATTATAGTAAATTTATTTGCATCCATAGTGCCCTATGATATCTCGTAAGTAACTATAAGTTCATTAATAATGAAGATACTGTGTAGTATCTTTTTGGTAGACGCCTTGTTTCTTTTTTCTATCTTAATATAATCGTTATCCCCTCGCCTTTCATTTAGATAGACTAGATTGACAGAATAAAAAAACTATATACCTATATTGACTGTCATGTGTAACGTAATAATTTCTTTTATTGTTTTATAATGTTAAGCATATATATCTGTAAGTATATCTTCTTTTTTTTAACCTATTCTCTATCCTTCCATTGTTGGATATAGGTCTCCCCCAGTCCTCTCCATCTTTCCCTATATTGAGCTGTTCTCTGCCATGTGGGACCTCCTTGTTTCCTGATGTCATCTTTCCACCTCATCTGTGGTCTGCCTCTTGATCTCTTTGCATTGTATGGACGCCACTTTCCGATGGCATTGTTCCATCGTCCGTCTTGGAGACGTTCATTGTGTCCACCCCATTTCCATTTCAGTTATGCTGCTTGTTCTATCGCGTCTACTGTCTTTGTTCTGGTCCTGATTCACTGGTTACGTTTTCTATTTTTAAGTGCTATACCCAACATTTGTCTCTCCATCGCTCTTTGTGCCTTCCTTATCCTATCCAAATTGGCCTGTGTAAATGTCCATGTCTGTGCTCCGTAGGTGAGCACCGGTATTATACAGGAGTTATATACCTTGCTTCGTAAGTATAGAGGGATTGTTTGATATTTTAGAACGTAAGAAAGTTTGCCGGACGCTGCCCATCCGATTCGTACTCGTTTCGATATTTCGGCTGTTTGATTTTCTCTGTTAGCTCTGATTGCTTGTCCTAGATAGATATATTACTCATTTACCTGTTCTATTTTTTCTGTTTGTGTTTTTATTGCCTCTGGGTCTTCCGTGTTTGTCATTACTTTTGTTTTGTTGAAGTTAATTTTTGGCCTTTTTGCAGTGATTTTTCATGAAGGTCATTCAGCATTAATTCCAGTTCTTGTCGTTCCGGGGAGATCAGGAGTATATCATCCGCATATCTAAGGTGATTTAGATACTTTCCGTTAATACATATTCCTCTGTTTTCCCAATCTGTTGATTTTATTATATCTTCGAGGGTCAAGGTAAACAGTTTAGGTGAAATTATATCGCCTTGTCGGACTCCTCGTTTAACTTTTATATTATCCGTTATTAATTTGTCGTCCAGAATTACGGTCATGGTTGCGTTTTGGTAAATATCATGTATCAATGGTCAGTATCTTGAATCTATGCTACTATTGACCAGAGCTTCTTCAACCGCCCAGTGTTCAATGCTGTCGAAAGTCTTTTCATAATCTACGAATGCTAAGTACAGCGGAAGGTTGTATTCATTGGTTTTCTCAATTAAGATTTTAAGCGCATGTAGATGGTCGATTGTGCTGTATCCTTTCCTAAATCCGGCCTGTTCCACTGGTTGGTAGTTATTAAGTTTATAGGTTAGTCGGTTGTTTATTATTCTTGTGAAGGTTTTATATAGTTGTGACAAAAGGGAAATAGGACGGTAGTTGTTTAGGTCTGTTCGGTCTCCTTTCTTATGTATTGAGATTGTGTTGGAATTTCTCCATTGTTTAGGTATTTTACCTTCAAACAGACATTTGTTAAACAATATTTTTAGCATTTTTTTTTATCGTGTCTCCTTCTTCTTTTAGCAGTTCCGCCAGTATTTTGTACTCACCGGTATATCTTCCTTATATATTCATAATTACTTAAAGTTAAAAAAACTTCATTGTTATTTTTTAGATAACGCAATAATCATAATCCAGATCTATAGTTACCCACCGAACTTGACCTTTCCAAGTAAAAGTAATTATTGTCATTAAATGTAGAGGACACGGAATAATAAGCAGAGGGGACTTATTACAAAACCAACAAAATGTTATTTTACTTCCATTACCGTTAAATCGATTTTTTCTTTTGTTGATCGCTCAGCAAATGGACACATGGACGGCGGCGATTTGAAAGACCGCTAGAGAGATATACGAGACACTTTTTGAATCGAATGGATTCGCAGCGCAACAAAGTTCTTGTGTATTAATTTTTTTGCTAAAACTAAGGATGTTATGACTATATATATAATGTCGGTTTACAACGTTCTTCAACGTCTTCCCATTTCCAATCTCCATTTCATTCTATCGTTCCATAGTCGTCCTCCAGTTCACTTTCTCTGATTTCTTTATTAACTCCTTCTCTCCAACATCTTCTAGGCCTTCCTGGTCTCCACCTACCTCTTGGTTGCCATTCAAGAATTTGTCTTGGTATTCTATTCTCCGGCATTCTCCTTACGTGTCCGTACCATCTGAGTTGTGTCGTTTTGATGTCATCAACAATATTATGTATAACTCCCATGATTTCTCAGACTCCCTCGTTTGTTATTCTGTCACGTCTAGAGATTCCTGCCGAGCGGCGTCAGAAGTCAATTTCTGTTGCTCTAATCATTTTCTCTGTTCTGTCTTTTAGGGGCCACACTTCGCATCCATATGTTGTGATACTGTTTATTATGGTGTTTTATATTCTTCTTTTATTTTCCTTAGAGATGTTTTTATCCCACAGTAAGCTGTTCAGTAAGGCTATGATTTTCCTTTCCTGTATATTTCGTTCCTTAATGGCTGCATCTAATTTTCCGTCTTGAGTGATCTTTACTCCTAGGAATTTGTAGTCGTCACATAGTTTGGTCTCTTGATTTTCCTCTACGACAAGGTTATGTTGATCTCTTCCGATACTCATGTACACAGTTTTTTCTATATTCACTTCCAAACACCACTCTGTAAACTCTTCTAATAGTTTTCGCATTATGTATCTAAGGTCTTCAGAGTCCTGTGCGATGATGACCTGGTCATCCGCAAAGCACAGATTGTACAAAGTTAAGTTTATTAGTGGCATGCCCATATTCGTACATTTTTTCTTCCATTTGTTGAGTGCTGCTTCGAGGTATATTTTGAATAATGTTGGGTATAAACAGCATCCTTGTCTTAGTCCTTTAGTTACTTTGAATCCCGGTGTTATCCGATTTCCTGTTTTAATTCTTGTTGTTTTGTTGGTAGTACAACGTTTTCACCGCTTCAATCAATTCTATATTTATATTTGTTTTCCCTAGTGCCTCCCATAATTTATCAAGCAGGACACTATCATATGCTTTCCTAAGGGTGAGCGCCCACCGAACTGGCGTGGCAAGTGGCAGGTAGCAAGTAGCACACATCTAGCATGTTATTTAAAATGTAAACAATGAAAACGAATGATTCAGCGCACACCAAAATGACAGTGACGTTATTCATTCTAATCATTCGTTTTCATTGGTTAAATTTTAAATAACATGCTAGACGCGTGCTACTTGCCACGTGCCACGTGCCACGCTACTTTGGTGGGCGCTCTCACTATGGTCTACGAACGTCAGGTGGACTTCTTGGTCACGAGCAACTTCCTTTTTAATTATCTGAGTAATAGAGAAGATATGGTCTATTGTAGATCGACCTGCACGAAAACCAGCCTGTTCTTCGGCTTCCGTATCTTGGTATTCTTTTTCTATTCGATTTTTTATTTTCCCAATGTTATGATTATATTGGCTGAAATATAAATTGATTTCTGTTCCTATCATCTGTTTAGTTTTTATAATTTTTAGGATCGTCGATTAGAAATCGTAGATAGTTTGTGGGGTATATTTGCGTGGAGGTATATTCTTGGGGATGGAAATGACGTGTCCGTCTTTGTAAAAAAATTTCCTACCTCATGTACACACACGTGAAATCGACCATACAATCAATCAAACATTCACCCAAATCCAAAACTATGTGCCATCACATCGCCCAACACCCTGATGGTACTCAGTCGTCGGCCATCATCCACAATCCAAACACAATACGCCAACAAATACACTGAAAAGTGAATGCCCTCCACACACTCCTTAAGAGTCACTAATTAAAAAGGAAATCACATGGGAAGATTGGTTTTCTTTAATGATAACGGTCTCATCATAAATTTTGCGATGTCTAAGAACATGGTAATAGCTGGGACACGATTTCCCCATAAAGATATACATAAGGGAACTTGGAAATCTTCTGATAATGAGACGATTAACCAAATAGATCATATAATCATCGATGCAAGATACTGCTCTAATTAGACGTTACGTCTTATAGAGGAGCAAACATAGAAAGTAATCACATGTAGAGTACGATTTAAAGAGAGAATATCCAATTTAAAAAAGGAGATCGGGAAAAGAAAAAGAAAAAATCCCGACATAGCAAATTTATACAGAGAGCAAATAGAAGATCAAATAAGGACAGAAAACTTAGAAGAAGAAGAAGAAGACATTAACCAACTATGGGAAAATATACGAGATATTGTGTTACTGAAATCAATTGAAATATTGGCCAAAACCGATTTATGTCAGAAAAAAGAATTG